CTGAGCACTGCCAGGAGTGACCAGGAATAATGGTCACAAGCTAGCAGAGGGTAGGTTTAGGTTAGACATCAGGAGGCGCTATTTCACAGTCAGGGCGGCTAGGGTCTGGAACCAACTTCCAAGAGAGGTGGTGCAGGCTCCTACCCTGGGGGTTTTTAAGAAGAGGTTAGATGAACACCTTGTTGGGGTCGTTTGACTCTTTCCTGCCATGGCAGGGGGTCGGACTAGATGATCTGCTCGGGTCCCTTCCGACCGTAGAAACTATGAAACTATGAAATGTGATGTCAATCCAAAATGAAAATTAAATTTACCTTTGGCTCCCAGGAAATTATTAGAAAAAGTGAAAGTAGTTTAACTACTTTTGGGCAGCTGTCATCTCAGTGCTACATGGGCCAGTGCTGTTGGTATTAACTAAAGGAAACTGCAGAACACATTATATCCCATTGTTATAAAAGATGACATCAGGGAGGTGACTAAAAATTATGAAATTGTGTGTATGTGCACATTTAGAAGTAGGACACGTGGTGCTTCGTTACCTCATTTGATTGTTGGTGCCTATCACATTACAAGAATATATGTAATTTTCAGTTTCCACATTGCGCAGTCTGATGCCTTTTGAAGCCTGATTATCTTACAGCACCATAGGATTCAGAATCAACTTCTCCCTAACTTGGAAACGGTGACAAAATTTTAAATGTTCTTTTTAAAACACATAATTTAGTCTCTGTTTAATTCTTTTGGAATGTTCTTTTTAAGGAGGATGCAGAAATGTGGAAGAAAGAGGAACCCAAGCCCCCAGAAACCACCACAGAAAGCACTTTAACTACTGTTAGCAGTCCAGAAGACAGGCCTCCAGGTATCATGACTTCCTTCTTTAGGAAAACTCTAAGCTGGCCCCTTAGGGTGACAAGGGATCTGCTTGACATTCCAAGACGTCTGTCTAACTGGATGCATGGTTTTCTGCACGCTACCAATCTTCATTTCAGGGACAATGCATACAACTATACCTATTTGTATGAACTTTTGAGCCTTGGTGTGCCATTTCTGTGTGCGCTTCTAGAGGTACTTACTGATATGTACCGGGAAGCAAATCTATCACTTGAAACTGTTCTTGACTGGGTGAAAAAGTTCTTTAGGGCTTAAGTTCTTCTCAGATGTCTTGCTAAGCAGTGCCTTTCAGATTTCCAAAATTAATAGCCTTGCATTATTTTTTTTCAACTTAACATGTGCTTTAAATGAACAAAGGGCTCCTTTTGATAAACTAGGTGCAATCAAAACTCTCAATTAAAAATATGTACTGTACAATAAAGGTATCATGAAGTCAGTGTCCAGACACATTTCCAGAAAGTGTGGACTAAATGAAGGATGTTTTATAGACTAACGTGGAGGGTTTTTTTCCCTCTCCACTTGTGACCAGCCATTTTTCTGGGTTTACATTTTATAATTTTGTTTTAAAGACAGAGAAAGAACTTGTTCTTTCAGACATTTCAGGATTGTAGTGACAAATGACTGGGTTTTGAAACCTGAATATGGCACACTCCCTTTCTCTTGCTTTGGTCTTTGCTTTGGGTTACATGGTTTACTACTTGCATGAATACGTTCTGAGAAATATTTTTAGTGAATACAGTGCACCTACTCCTAGTCATGCCTTTTTTTATTTATTCCTTGTGGTGCCCTTTGTCAACACTGGGTATTTTCTGTAATCCTGCTTTATTTAAAACTAAAATAAATTTGAAGAGCAAATATTAGTTGAGTGAAGAATTAATTGAACTTGTCAGATTAAAGAAACATATACTGTAGTTTAGCCATTATTTATTCCCAGAGTTAAGAGTTTTTTTCATTTGGGGATGGATGCAAGCAGCAATGGTTTATTGACAAATCCCCCTCCTCCCCTGCCCGCCAAAGTCAGTATATTCTACTCAGATTTTTTTTAAAAGCCATATTTAAGTAATATAGCAATACTTATAAGTTAATATTTAAAAAAGTGATATTTTGTTAATCACAAAATCATAGCATTGTATCAGCTTTGAAGAAAGGTTCCTGTGATGTATCCCAGTATGGGGTACCTTAGCCAAAGTGATTCACTAGATTGTCTAGGGCTACATAATGGCAATTAGTTAAAAAAACAAATAAACAGTTCCTCAGGCTCTGACTACTGTTGTCTCCCAGCCTTTAGCCAATGTCCTACGCACATTCCCTGCTTCTGAACTACTTACATTAAGTATCTGGCGGAAGCACATAGACAAATATCCTAATAATTTAGAGTATCTGCAACCTTTATCTCTTGTAAAGAGAGATTTTATTTAAGCAACAGGGAACATTTTTATGTTCAGTTGGTACAAAACAAGTCTTGGCAAGGCATCACCTGCTAGTGTTGTCAGCTTGGCTGTTTTTTGGGTTTGCAGTCACTTTGGCTTGAATATATATTGTGAAGACCAATTGAAGTTTTTACTTTTGCTTGGCCTTAAAAAGAAATGCACATTTAAGAGAGCCAAAAAACCCTAATCTGTTGGTAAATGGAAACATTTTCTGTAGAAAACTGTTGTTGTTTTTTAAATGCAGAAAATGAAACTTTGTAGCATTCTAAATGATAAGAGTTCTTGAGGCTTTTGGGTTGTGTGTTTTGTAAAAACTTGTACACAGGACGTGAATGAATGTTTTCAAGAATGGTTTGCATGTGCAAACATAGCATGGCATATATGTGAGGTGTAAATTGCCATGTATGCACACACATGTATTCAGTGAATATCTGCTAGACTTTTGACAGGACATGGCGGCACTTACAGTACCTGGTAAGCATCTACATGAATAGAGAAAAATGTGTCTGTACCTCTCTAGTGTATTTTGAACACTGTACTGTGGGATATTGCTATATCTTGAGTCTTTGCCAATATAATTGCTTCATTAAAAAAAAGGGGTGGGCAACCCCACAATTTGACTGACTGCACTGCTCCTGCAACACTAGATTATGTTAAGAAATACTTTTTCTGATCTTATAGAACATTCATTTTTTTTTTATTTCAGTGGCTGTGTTTACATGAGACACTGACTGTGTAGTTGTTACTGCACAGTCATTTAGTACTTACTTACACAAGTACTAAATGACTGCACAGTAACCAGCATTACTGCTCAGTAGTGTCCCTGAACAGCTTTTTGGTGATGCTGACTACATAGTAACTCATTAATACTGCGCAGCAGCATTGCATCACACTTTGTGCCAAGTGATGCTACTGTGCTGAGCTCCAGCACAGCCAGCATCTTGTATAGATACAGCCAATTGTTCTCAAACAGTCTGATACAATATTTTTTCTCCTAAGAGTTTTAAAGTAATGCTTATCAAATAAAGGAGGTTTTTATTCTCAGTTGACTGAGCATAATGGAAGTCTTAATGAAGAATACTGTAGCCAGAAGTTTGAAAATCTGTGATATGCCATGATTTTGAAGAAAATGGACCTTACTAGTAGAAAATAAAATGAGCCTTGTTGGTTGCTCATAGGTTAATTAATTCAGGGCAAACGTGCAATTAAAAACTTTTGCAGACTGATTTGAATTGCATGGAATACTTTCAGTGACATCCCACTATGCTTCGAATTATGAAGTCTCAAATTGGTAATGATGTAAAGGATATAAGAATGTTCAATCCTTAGCCTTAAAATTCTACTACTAAGGTCCAGCACTGTTCCTCTTTGTTAATGGATTTAAAAAGTAATGCTTATGAATTAATGAAGAAAAGCTATTTCATTGTATCTGATTATTCAACTTTACTGTACCTTTCTGCACCTGATAATATTTCTGAATATATCCTATAATCAAACTGAATTTCCTTTTTTTTTTTTTTTTTTTTTTTTTTTTTTTTTTTTTTTTTTT